CTGGCACATAGGACGGCAAACTGATGGAGACCCATCCTGAATGTGGGCAGCACCACCCAATAGGCTGGGGACACTGAGAGAACAAAAGTGGAAGGCAGAATCTTGTCAACACTGGCTCTCCCTCTCCCTCTCTCTGCTTCCATCTGCTATGAGCTGAGCAGCTTTGCTCTGCTATTCCCTTCCACCATAATGTTCCACCTCACCACAGGCCCAGAAACAATGGAACCACCTTACCTCAGGCTGAAACCTTTGAAACTGTAAGCAAAATTGAAACTTTCCTCCTTTGTTTATGTGAGGCATTTTGTCACAGGGACAAAAATCTGACATATACATGTTTGGAGGAACATCTATTTAGGTCTACTGCTCATTTTTAATTGGATTATTTTGGGGTTTTTGTATTGCACTTTCAGAGTTCCTTATACTTCTAGACATTAACCTCTTGTCATATATATGGTTTGCAAATATTTTCTTCCAATACGTAGGTTTCATCTTCACTCTGATGATTGTTTCTTTTGCTGTAAAGACTTTTAGTTTGATATAATGCCATATAATGTGAATTTTTTATTTTATTGCCTGTGCTTTTGGGGTATTATCCAAACAATGCTGCCCATTTAAATATCCTGAAGCATTTCCCTTTTGTTTTCTTCTAGTAGTTTCATAATTTCAAGTCTGACATTTAAGTCTTTAGTCCATTTTGGGTTGTCCTTTGTAACTGATGGGAGATTGGTATTTAGTTTCAGTCTTCTGCATGTGGATGTATAATTTTCCCAGCACCATTTATTGAAAAGACTGTCCTTTTTCCAACGCATGTTCTTAGCAAAAATTGGTTGTCTATAGATTCTTGGGTTTATTTCTAGTATCTCTATCTATTCTGTTCCATTGATCTATTTTTCTTCCATGGCCATGCTGTTTTGATTACTATAACTCTGTAGTATATTTTGAAGCTACAAAGTGTAATGCCTCTGGTTCTTTCCTCTAAAAGGGTTTTAGCTATTTGGGACATTTTGTAGTTCAATATAAATTTTAGAATTTATATTGTTCTGTGTTGAATTTTTATATTTTAATAGTGATTGTATTGAATGTGTAGTTTGCTTTGTGTAGTATGGACATTCTAACAATATTGATTCATACAATCCATGAACATAAAACGTATTTCCACTTTTATATGCCCTCTTCCATATCTTTCATCAATGTTTTCACAGTATTCATTGTAGAGATCTTTTATCTTTTTTAATAAATGTGTCTTTCCACAGATGGCCTTCATATGGACTAGTTTGCTTTCCTTTCATCATTTTCTGATGTTCTTCCTTTCTTTTTTTTGCCAGGTGGGAGAACCACTGAGCTAAATCCCCGACCCTCTTCCTTTCTTTATGTAGACATGAGTTTCTGACCTATGTCATTTTTCTTCTCTCTAAAGAACTTCTTTTAACATTTCTTGCAAGGCAGGTCAACCAGAAATAAATTCCCTCTCAATTATCATTTTTCTGAATTAAGACTTTTTCTTTCACTTTTGAAGAATAATTTTGCAGACTTATAGAGTTCTAAGTTGTTATCATTTCTTTGAATTCCCCATCTTTCTGCTTACCATCAGTTCTTGTCCATCAGTTCTTGCATGCTACTTTATCCACTAGAGCCCTTAGCATATTAATACCTTGTTAATTAGTTCCTAGCCTGATAATTTCAAAACCTGCCTGATATCTGAGTTGGGTTCTGATGGTTGCATTCTGTCTTCAGCTTGTATTTTTCCTTACCCTTTAATATGCTGTGTAATTTTTCTGTTCAAAAGTTAACATGATACATTGGGTAATAGGATAGGAACTGATGGAAATATCCCTTTAGTGTGATGCTTTATGTTAATCTGGTTAGCAGTTGGGCTGTGTTTAATGTCCTTTACAGTTGTAGGTGCTAGAAGCTTCAAATGCATCAAGTGTCCTTATTTTTTCTTCTTGTTATCTTTAGGTTTATCTTAAACTCCTTAAATAGAGCCTGAGTCTCATAGGTCTTTCAGTTACAATCTACAGTTACGATAAAGACCTGTTGATGTGGTGATAAGGAGTGAGCTAGGAGACTTATTCTATGATCATATAATTATATTTCACGTTTTATGGACCTGTGCTGTCAGGTGACTTTGACTTTCATAACACATTTCTTCAACATAAAAGTGACAGAACACAGAATCTGGCATGTGTCAAAATGTTTCCTTTTCTCTTCCTCCTTCCTGAAGCACAGGGGATTTTTCTTCTAGTATTCACAGTTAAGAATCTAGTAGAGCTCTATGAAGTAAAATTCACTAGATTGGGAGCACCTAATAAATGGATCACCCTGGAGTTTTTACCTTTCAAGTTTGTCCACACTGAACCTCTGGAAATTCATCAATGATAGTTCAGTTTTCCTTACTCCTGCACTAGATCTTGCAGTGGTTACTGCAGGAGGGTTTCTGCCTCTGGTAAGTTGATTCTCTATATTTACCTGTGCCAGACTCCAACTTTGGGAACAACAGTTTTTACCGTGACTTCTATGCTCTTTCAGATCTAAGCAGAATAATTGATTTTTCTGTTTATTCAGCTTTTAATTTTTTGTTAGGATGGGACAGCAGTGTCCCAGATTTGTATGTAACAGACCAGAGCCCAAAAGTCTTAGCAATCATGTTTTTGTAACCCTTTTATTTCATACATCTAACTAGAAGCCTGATGTCTTAGTTTAATTACATTTCCCCACAGTGAGTCTGCCCTAAGTTTTCCCTGATTCACTCACAACTTTGTATTGTAACTGCTGCTCACAAACTGTGAGGTCAGGGATAATATTTAATTTCTTTAATTCTATATTCTCTCTTGGTCCCAAACAAAGTGATAGAAAGTATTAAAAGAAAAAAAAATATATATATATATATATTTATACTGTCATACCACTGCTACATTCTTTGAAAATATTACACCTTTATAATGTGTTGAATTATTGTGTATGTCACCAAATTTATTTTATTTTTATAATGTAGTGTATCTTTAACAGATAATTTGTCCCATTCAATGAGACATGCTATTCATGTATTTGGTTTTGATGACCCTGAAAGTTTTTAGGTTTACTGGTCAGGTACTTTGTAGAAGGCTGCTTGATTGAAATCTGTAATTTTTTATTATACTTAGGTAGAGTATTTTTGTGACAAAAGCTACAAGAAGTAAAGTGGCATTCTCATCACATCACATCACATCAAGGCTACATTCTACCAATATGATTTGTCATTCTGATACTAACCTTGGTCACCAGGCTTGAGGGATTATTTATCAGGTCTGTTCTGTCAAGTTACTTTTGGGGTCTAATTTTCCAATACTCTTCTTTAAAACTTTTATTTTTTAACTGGATATTTTCTGTATAAGTAAAGGTTATTGACCCTGGTATTTACGTTTTTTAAAGTAGAACTAAATTGTAAAGAGTTGCCAGTCATCAAAACACTTATCAACTATAAAATATCAATGATAATTAGTATATCTCCATAAATAATGCCCAAGGTAATCTTCATTAATCTCTTTTACCAAAACAAAACAAAACAAAACACTTATTTCGCTGTGACTTAGCAGTGTTACTTATTGGTTTGAATATGTTGGGATTTTTGGTTGTTTTTTTTTTGGTACCAGGGATCGAACTCGCGTCCTAGCGCTTGGGCAGCAGGGGACGAAACCACTGAGCTAAATCCCCGGCCCTGGTTTGAATATGTTTAAACAAAATTCATGTGTCGGAAACTTAATCGCCATCTTCATGTGTTAATGTTATTCAGAGGTGGGGTCTTTGAGATATAATTAGGATTAGATGATGTTATAAGCATGGAACCCTTTTATGGCATTAGTGGATTTATAAGAAGACAAAGAATGACTTGAGCTTGCTGTATTTCACTATATAATGGCTTTTGTTATGTCACAATGCAGCTAGAAGGCCCTTACCAGAAGCTGAACAAATTTTGGTCTTGGACATCCCAGTCTCTAGAGCCATGAGCTAAATAAATTTATATTCTTTGTAACTACACAGTCTTTAGGTAGAAAACTGGGTAGTTTGTAATAGCAACAGAAAATGGACTACAATAATTATTAAAATTAATTTCTGGAAATATTTAGTGTAAATTAAAACTGCAGTGAGAAACCAGTTCATACTCATTACAATGGTTATACTAAAAGACAAACAATGACAAGAATTGGTGAAGATGCAAAGAAACTGTAACCTTCATTTGTTTCTGATGGGACTGTAAAATGGTTTGCAAATGTTGATCAATGAGCACTAAGTTACAATTAGATAGATCAAGAAATTCTGTTATGCTGTTGCATAGTAGGGTGACTCTAGATGACAATAATCTGCTGTACATTTCAAAAGCTGAAAGAAATCATTTTGAATGTTTTCACCATGAAGAAGTGATGTTTGAGGAGACAAATTGTTAACCTTATTTAAATATTATGCAACATATACATATGTGGAAACATTACATGGCACCCTATTAATATGTACAATTTATTTCTTCATGTATCATTTAAAAGTAAAATTTTTAAATTGATTCATCAGTTTGTAAAATTTGGGCAATAACTTTAAGAAACAAATCAAAACTTTATCATACAAACCAGTAATTCTACTCTTAGATATTTACTCAAGACAAATAAAGCATATACCCCCACATATATTTTACACTGATATACATATCAGTTTAATTTGTAATAACCAAAATTTTGAAACAATACAATTTCTATCAAGGAAATGGATTAAAAAAATGTGGATTGATGTCAACAACATGGCAGAATAAGTTGTTCCTGACTCTCTCTATATATATCAATGGACATAACAATTAAACATCTGTTCACAGACCATTTCCCTCCAAGAGGAAATTATAGACCAGGTGAAAGACCTCATTTGGCAACTAAGAAAACATCTATATCAAATAGGTAGGAAAAACTAAGACAAATTCAGGTATGAATATCCAGGCACTGCACTATAAAGTAAGGACAAGAATACCCAACACTTACTTCCACCTATAGAAAGAAGAGTCTGATCTTCACACATAGAACCTTCACTCTAAGATTTCTCTTGCTTTGGCTTGCAATTCACCCAGTCTGGGAGCAGAGGAGACTGGACATATTCAGGCTTCTCTGGATGATGGGGGAAAGGCCATGATTCTTTCCAGATGTGAAAGCATTTCCAGAGACTTTATCCCCTGGGAGAAATACAAAGAAGGAATTTAAAAAAATAAAACATAGCCCCATTTTCATCTGGAAGGATTTTATGACACTCTTCAGAGGTTACTTGATGGTCCAGCTTCCAATTAAATTACATTGAGTAGTTAAAGTGATAGACAACTATTTATTAACTTTCTGCCAGTTTAGGAAAAGTTTGTTTACAAATTGACAGTTCTAACTTTTATAGATCCTATCAGAGATAATGTATACAAAACCTCACAGCTCTCAGAATCAAATAAAGAAGGCATATTTGAGTTTCCCTAGATCATGGAACAAATAAATAGCTTTAAACAGACACTGAAACACTTCCAGAGGCTATGCCTCCATGGGGGAATGCACAAAAGGAGTAGGAACATGAGTCTCCATTATTGTCTCCAAAGGGGACTTATGGCACACAAATATTTACTTGATGGCCAAGCTACTAAGAAACTTGCATTATAGAACAAATGGAACAAACATACAATACCCCTCTGTTGGTCATTCAGAATTCAGATCATGAGTCCTCCCTCAGGTTCATCCTAGAGATAAGTCCAAGCCTATCTAGTCTTTCTGGAGGAAGTTTGGCCACCCATGAAGTGCCACTTTTTATATAGCTCCCACCAAAGGTAATGACTAATAACTTAGCTCTAGGTATTGAGGGAGCTTTGCATTCCTGAGTGACCTAAGAGTGAAGAAAACAAACATGTAGGTGTACAATAGGCCCAATCACACTAGCTACATTCCCGGGATCAGAGAGTGTGCACTGAACATAAGTGCAGGAATTTGCCTCAGATTCATAGCTATGATTATTGCAGAGAAAGTAGAAAATAAAAACCTATAGCCTCACTGTGAAGATAGAAAGAAGTAGAACACACATCCAACACTTCAATAATAATGATAATAATGTGCAAGCTATAACTAGAGAGTTTGGTATTGGCAGGATGTGACACATCCTGAGCTAAGCAAACCACCAAAACAGATGCACCAGTCTGGACAAACAAAATGGATTGAAAGGTACCTTAAAACCTCTGTCCATATGAACTGATGAGATCCTTCTCTTATTAGAGGCAACCTAATGAGATGGGGAGAAGTAATTGCCATATTTAATACATAGAAGCCAATAAAGGAATCAAGGAAAATGAAAAAAAGATAGAATTTATTCCAAAAAAAATAAGATGAATCTCCAGAAATTTGCTTGAGTGAGGTAGAGATATGTAATTTACTCAACAAGGAATTAAAAATAATAGTTATAAATATACTCATTGAGATCAAGAAAGCACTGCAAGAGCAAGCTGAAAATTCCAAGAAACAAAGTTTTTAAAAGTATCAAACAAAATTCATAGATGTGAAGAACACAGAAACTGACCTGAAAATTTCAATAGAAGTGTTCAACAGCAGATTAGAACACACAATAGAAAGGACAAGTGAACTCAAAGATAGCTCATTGGAAACCTCCAGTCTGAGAAGCCAAAAGAAAAATGGATGAATAAAACAAAGGCAACTTAAGAGACTTGCAAGGAACCATCCAGCAGAATGATGTATGTATTACTGATGTACCAAGAGGAGAAAAGAGTAAAAAAGGACAGAAAACACATTTAAAGAAGCAGTGAAAGAAAACTTCCCAACCCTGGGAAAGAAAATAGGTAGCCAGATCTAGGAAGCCCTCCAAAATGAATAAAGGTAAATGGGAGGCTGTCCATATTCATACCAAAGACACCTGCTTTTCTTTGGTTTTTTTTGTTGTTTTGTACCGGGGATCAAACTCAGAACCTTGTGCTTTTGAGGCAGGTGCTGGAACCACTGAGCTAAATCCCCAACCTGACACCTGATGTTTCTGCTGTTGGTGATTGTTGAAGCCCCTATCGCCTGCAAGCATAGCTGATGAGTTGTTAAGTGTATCCATCACTGTACTACTCAGAGGAGAAACTCAGTTTAGCTAATACTGTCCCTCAATCATCATGTTCCCACACAGCACTAAACCTAACCATGTCCCACTCCTATTGCCCTGTGTAACTCACTATATTAGTCACCTTTCCCATCATTGGGACAAAATATTTTATACTGGCAACTTAAGGAGGAGAGGTTGATTTTACTCATTGTTTCAGAAAGTTCAGTCCTTGGTCAGTTAGCTTTAAGGCAGAAATGGCATGGTGGAAGATCCTGGAAGAGGAAGATACACCATGGAAGCCAAGAAGCAGAGAAAGAGTGGAAGGAGCTAGGGACAAGACATGGCCTTCCAGGTTATACCCCCAGTGACACATCTCCTTTAACTAGCCCCCACCAATAGTACATTCAGCTATGAATTCATCAATAGATTAATCCACTGACAAGTTTAGTACTCCTGTGATCCAATCACCCTTTGAAAAGCTCCATATCTGAACATGAGACTTTTCAAGAACATCTTTGATATAAACTATAATATTCACCCTCCTGTAACACTGAAGTGACTCCACTTCTGCATACTCTGAGTACTGACAGGCACTTCATGAGCTATGCTGCATTGCTTGAGCATGCTAGAGTGACCTCAGCCCTACACGGTCCCCAAAGGCTAGCAGTTACATTCTGCACAACAGAAGTATTTTGACCCCGTTGTGTTGCAGGCTAAACCATACCTGCCTAGGCATGCTAGAATGACCCCAGCCCTGCATAGTTCTCAGAGACCAGCAGGTGCACTAAATCCTCCAGAGATGATGTCTCACACAAGCTCTATCACACTTACCTAGGCATACTAGTGTAACCCCTCCATCTTTGGCCAATGAAGATGACTAGCACCTTACCAGCACTAACATGTATGCCATACCACATTTTCTTAGCCATGTTAGAATGGCCCTAACCCTGCATGGCTATGGACACTGATAAGCACACTCCTGTAACCATGTATGAACATTGCACCACACCTGCCTGGACCTGCTGGAGTGGCAACATAGCAGCCACCTCACTGCTGCTGTTGCATGTGTCATACATACATGGGCTACTAGACTGCCCCTACCCACCTCATAGCTTGAAGAGATAGAGAGACTGCCTGACCTGCTGCATACCACACCCAAAGCCATTTTCCACATTCAACAACTGAACTCATCAATTGATGAGTATAGAGCACCCATTATCCAATCACCTTCCACATACATGATAATTGCAAATTCTGTGGGACAGAGAAAGACAAAAGTTTAAAAGAGGGCCGGGGATTTAGCTCAGTGGTTCTGCCGCCTGCCTAGCAAGCACAAGGTCCCAAGTTCAATCTCCGGTACCAAAAAAAAAAGTTTAAAAGAATGAAGAAAACTTCCAAGACTTAGGAGCCCCATGCAACAAACAATTATGGGAGTTCCACAGGATAAAGTGAAGGGAAATGTAAGGAAACAATTTGATGAAATAAAAACTTCAAAACTTCCCTAATCTTTGAAAATCATTGACATGGAGGTCCAGGAGCCCTAAAGGACTATAAAGAGAATTAAACGAAAGAGATACTCATTGAAGCAAATTGGAAAAAGTCCAAGACAAGAGATTCTGAAAAGTGCCAAGTCATATTTAAGGAAACCTCCATTAAACATTTGTCAGTTTCCTCAGCAAAAATGAGGTACAAAATAAGGGTCAGGGCAAACCAAACAACAGAGTAGAATTTGACAGTCATGGAGACCTCAGGGACATGTGCGCAATACAGCATCCAAGACAACTGTATACGTCCTGAACACTGTATACAAAATCAATTAGAAAGGTGCTATTTTTAATTATTCTTTTACATCTGGTGGGAAACAAAGTGAGTCTTTTGATAGGGTAATTTAAATCTGGTACCAACCCAAGTGAGTTTTTTGTTTGTTTGCTTGTTTGGTACCAGGGATAGAACTCGGGTCCTTGCACTTGCGTAGCAGGCAACAAAACCACTGAGCTAAATCCCTGGCCCCCAAGTTTTTGATAGGACAATTATCCCAATGCTTTATCTGCAACAGAGAGAAGCCAATCTGGAAATTGCAAATACAAAAGACCTCTTTCCTTTATGATTGCTGCCACTGCAAGTCTATTCACCAGCCCACCCTTACCTTGCAAAGTGCTTCTTTTCCATCTTCAATAAATGTACATTCCCAGTACCTTTTCTCTGTGTCTTATCCAATTCTTTATTCAGGACACCAAGGACATGGAAAGAATTCCCCTCAGGACTCACCATCTAGTAATAGAAACCTGTGAGCTAAAGAGCATGGGATGACATATTCAAAGTTCTGAAAGAAAAAAACCCACTAAATAAGAATACTACATCCAACAAAGTTGTATTTCAGAAAAGAATAATAATGACTTTCAAAGATAAGCAAAAACTAAAAAATTCACCCATCTGTAGTAGACTTATAAAAGATGCTTAGAGAAATCTTGCATCAAAAAATGAAAGGGAACTAACTTCTACCGACATGAAAACATTTGAGAGAATAAAACCTACTAGTAGAGCAAATACACAAAGGAGAAAAAGAATCAAACATTATCAATACAGAAAATCATGAAGTCACCAAACTAAATGAGAGACAAGAGATGGGGGGGTGCAGAGAGACAAAGAGGCTATTCAAAACAAGCAGAAGAAAACTAACAAAATGACAAGAAAGTAAGTCTTTATATATTATATAAGTCACTTTCTCATCACCAGAAAAATATACCCAACACCCTCAATTTACTTTTCTGTTCATTATTATTATTGTTATTGTTATTGTTATTATTATTACCTTTGGTGTTTTGAGACAGGATCTTGCTATGCAGTTCAAGCTGACCTTGAACTCACTGTGTAGCCCAGGTTGGCCTCGAACTTGCAGTGATCCTCCTGCCTTGGCCTCCTGAGTGCTGGGATTACAGGCATGTGCCAAGATGCCTGGAATCACCCTCAATTTAAAGGAGAAGAGGTTTGACTTATTTCACATTTTGGGGGATTCAGTCCATGACTGGCTGGCCCAAAGGCAGAAATGTCATGATGAAAGGGTATAGTGGAGGAAAGTTTCTTGCCTCATGACAGCCAGGAGGCAGACAC